GCTTCCAACTGAAATCAAAATTGCTATTAACCGTGATTCTTTTTGGGATTCTCTTACAATATTACATAAATTACTTCGTCCTTTTTGTGGAGCTCTTGATCTTATACAACGTGACAAAGCTCGCCTTTATAATGTTTTACATACCTTCGGTTTTTTATGCAAATATTTAAAGAACTTGAAGAATCTCAATTTCAAACAAGAATCGTTGAAAGACTTGAAAAAAGGTGGGCTACATGGGAACAACCATTGCTTATTCTTTCTTTTATTCTTCATCCTCTATATAAATTGAATTATTTTAATCAAACACAATATATTAACTTTACTTACATGGGAGCATGGTTATCATATTATTATAAAGTTTGGTTTGATACTGAGCCAAATTGTTTGCTTCGCGAACTTGAACTTTATAAACAGCAAAAGTATCCTTTTACTGAAAAAACCTTTAACCATTTTAAAGGAGATATAGTTCTTTGGTGGTCTTATAATTCTGGTGCTGCACCAGAACTGTGTCGTGTTGCATGCTAATTATTTGGCATATGTGTTACAACTGCTTCTGTCGAAAGGCTTTTCTCAACAATGGGCTTTTTGCATTCTCCGTTAAGAAATAAACTAAAGGTAAATTTAATTTAAATTATAAATTTTAATATATTAAAATTTTTTTATTATAGGATACAAAAGTTGTTGCAATAAGTCAACTCCGTGCTGAAATCTTATGAGCTTATAAAAAAAAAATCAAACCTAATTATAGTCAATCGGATTACTCTTCCTCTGCTTTATCTTCCTCTGCTGCTCCAGTTTCTGCCAGTTCTTCGCTATCTAATCAAGATCTAGAATTTGAAGAGACTAATACAGATGATATAAATTAAGAAATTACTTCAGAAATTGATTGGAATGTCGCTATTAATGAGTGGGAAGAATTATTAATTGATGAAAAGTTTGAAGAAGAACAAGATGATCTTGATATTGCCAATATTGATTTTCTTGATTCAGAAACGCATCCTGCTGAAAATCAAGCTGCAAAATGGAAATTACACGATTTGTTTTTACCTAATTTACCTTTTCCATTTGAATAATGTATATTTGAATTATATAGAAACGTTAGTGATAGTGATATATAGTAAATTTGTTTAACAAGCATGTACATATGAATGTACGTATGTCTATTTAGAATAATAAGCTTTTTGAATAGCGATAATGCAAAGAAAAACATGGTTATATAGGGAGGAAAAAAATAAAGTAAATCTAAATAAGTTTTGGTTTTTAAATATATAAAATGAAGTAAAAAAAAAAAACTTTGCACCTGAAGCTTTATTAAGCCTAAATTTTACAGGAAGTTCCGTATTCTTTATAATTTTTACACAAGAAAAGTTTTTATTTGAGTGCTAACGCTGTAACAGGAAAAAAAAATCATATACTTTCTTTTGCTTAATAAATCGTATCTGGTATGTATTACATAAATTTTGAGTTTAATAAATTACTTTTTAGTCTATCTAATGCATGATTTGATTAGTTAATAACTATTCATACGTCCGGTCCAATGTTTATTGCTTTTGATTGGACAGTTCGGACACTATTTTTCGGACAGATTTCTATTGTCCGAATTCCATTCATGCCAACCCTGGACCAGACATATATTAAGAAATGTGTTTATTAAATGTGGTTCACAAAATATAATAAATTTAAGTGATTATGGTACTATATATTATAATTATGGAACTTAAAATTATAAATATAAACTTATCATTATTTTATATACAGATTTATAAGTTTAATTTTAAATCTTAAAAATATAGATATAGGGGGGAGTCAATAAAATCCAGGCAAATTATTTTTAGTAAGTTTTTTTAAAACTCTAAATTAAAATTTCTTAACAACTATTAAACCAAACTTGATAAATTTTTTTATTTTAATTCTATTTAGTTATAGAATTAAAATAAAAAAATTTTTATCAAGTTTGGTTTAATAGTTGTTAAGATATTTTAATTTAAAGTCTAGAAAAAATTTACTTAAAAACAATTTGCCTGGATTCTATTGACTCCCCCATATTTTATTATTTTATATATAGTATTTAATCTAGTTCTTTTTTTTTGATATACAAATATAATATTTTGATTCTAATCTTCCATTCCTGGTTTCACATGATGATGTTGCGCAGCTATCTAATTCAATATTATGTTTAGTAATTACTGAAATAGTGAGTAATAAAATTTTTTATAGTTACTTATAAGAGAAATCATAATTCTAATACGAACTAACTCAATCTTAATTACATCTTGCGGTTACTGAAATAGCAAGTACTGTTCTATAACAGAATTTTTTATAGTAACTCATGAAAAATCATAATAATTCAAATGCAAATCAACTCAAACTACATATTATATATTAATGGAATAGTAAGCTTCATAACAGAATTTTTACAATATCTTATAATAAAAGTTACAATATAACTAACTGCATACTGTGGTTACTAAAACAGTAAGCAAGTTTAGTAACAGAATTTTTATGATGACTCTCAATAAAAATTATATAATTTTAATGCCAATCTTAATTGCATAAAGTCATAATAATTCCAATATTAATTACATCAAGTCAACCACAATTGTGGTACTGGAATAGAGAGTAAGTTCTGTAATACTTTTTTACAGTGGCTCAACAATATAATTACAATAATTCTAATACAAACTAACTCAGCCTTGATTATGTTAAAATCATAATAATTTCAATATATAAATCACCAAATTAGCAAATTATATAAAGGAATTTTTTACAGCAACTCATAGTAGAAGTTATGACAAACTAATTCGATTTTAATTGCATATTATAATTACTGGAATAACAAATAAATTTTTAACAAAATTTTTACAGTACATTATGCTAAACATCATAATAGTTTCAATACAAACTAACTCAACATCAACTGTTTATGCATTAATAGAAATTACAATAATTTACATTATGTATCACTGAAATAACAAAAAACTTTGTAACAAATATTTTTACAGCAACTTATTGTAGAAATCATGAAGATTACAATATATCTTAATCACATATGGTATATTAATTCTCACTTTCCTGAAACCTACCTTCCCAAAATACTATTTTTCTAATCCATAATTCTGATATCTCTTTTTTATGAAAAGAAATATTTCTGACAGTATATTTTACTGAAATTTTTACAAATTACCATAGTGCACTGTCTAAAAGACTCAGGGTCTAATACAATTTACCCACCCAAAAAACTTATAAAATACCTGGGGATATCTTGTTTGTTACTAGGCCAAAATTTCTAATTTTTGCCAGAATTCCATAATTTTGTGCTATATATTATACCCAGGTCTTTTATATGGGGGTATTTTAAAAGGGTCTTTTAGGCAGTACACTACAGTAATTTTTTTGACACAACAAATTCTTTGACAAGCTGAATTTCTAAAAAATTTTATTTAACAGGCTTTTTCACTAACAAAGCCTTTTTTCAGAACTCCTGCTCTTTAGACAAAAATTTTTCTGAAGCCTTTTCACTAATTATTATTTTGATATATTTCTCTGTATCTAAAAAGATGTTTTTCCAAAAAGATATTTCTCAAAAAGAAATTTCCCAACAAGATGTCTTCTCGATTAAACACAAATAGACTAACTTTGTAGATGAAATAGCTGTAAGTGAAATGGTTATCAGCAAATTTGTTTATACCTTTTTTTGGGTTATCAGGTGATCCAGAATTTATAAAAATACTGTAATTGTAAATTTGAAGTAAAATAGATATTTATCTATTTAATATACGGTGAAATGGAAATTGCAGACAAATGACTTATCAGTAAAATTTATTATCAATTAAATGATATTTCAGTAAAATAAGACTTTCAGAATAGGATATCAGTATTATGACTTCAGTGAAATGGTATTTTAGTAAAATTGATTTTGGAAAATTAACTTATAACTCATATAAAGTTTAGTAATAGTGGCAAAATCTTTATGTCTTTGCACTATTTATAGCTGGTTTAATTCTGTGACACTCTAAAAAAATTTGTAAAAGTATATTTGACTAAATTCGATAAGCTATTTATCTCGATGCTATATAAATGCATAATATATATGTATTTGTTACTAAGATTTTTTAAATAAATTCATTAAAAAATAGTTAAAAGAACTTAGAAGGCTTAAGCTAGAATAATTGCTAAACATTTGAGTATTAACAGGTTTTTGTGGGTTGAGTTCTCAAACAATTTTAAAGAATAACTGTGTTGATGAATTACCATTACTTTAAATAAACATTATATATAATTTGAACTTTATTATAATTATTAAGACATTAATAAAAATTTTGATCTTTAATTTCAACTTGTGTTGCATTTTTTTACAACCTCTCATCATATTTAACCGTTTTTTTATTATTATTATTAGTGTGTACTTGTGTAATATAGTGTGTTATGCATTAAAAAGGCAAATTTTCAAATTTATTTTTTATTTTTGTATAGATACAATATACTTCAATAAACAGTTACTAAAGATAATCATTATAAAAAGATTCACAAACGAAATTAAAATTTATATGTTTATTAAGAAATTTCAAAACGTTTTTAGTTAATTAGATTGGCAAGAATAGTTTTTGGCATAAATTTTTGTATTATATGTATTGGATAAGGAAAAAAAATTTTTTTTAATAAAGTATTGAAATAGTTGATGTTGCAAATATAATATAATATTGATTGAACAATGTGCTGTAATAATAGTAACTCAATAATTTTTTTTATATACTAATCACACACTAATCATACGAAATTAATAACTTATCAAATTTGGCAAATTTTTTTAGGGTGTCCCAGAATTTATAAAACTAGCTATAATGTAAAAGCTATATATATATATATATATAATTTTGTAATTTTATTAAATCTATTATGCTAAAATTACAAACTTAACCGAATTGGCTAAAAATTATTCAGCTAATTTTTATCTAGTGTTTCAGGAATTATGATAGTAGCTGTAAACAGAAAATACATAGAATTCATATATGGAGAAGTTATGGAAAAGTTAAGTTTAATATTTTTTATAGGGCATTAGTGCATGTTTCTATTTTCATCATCAAGTTAAAAATTAATATAAATTTAAGTACTATATTAAATAATTAATATTGCACATGTGAATTATATTATTAAAAAGACTATATGTATTAATGATGAGCATATTAGCAAAAAAATATATATTCTTTATGAAATTTTAATAAATAGTACAAACATTCATAATCAAATACAAAATTCTAAAGCAAAACCATGCTTAGAACATATAAAATATACAGTATATACTTTAAGTATAGTTTTGCTATATAACAAACCTATATGAATTTTTTTATTTTAATAAAGAGCTGAGAATGATTTTATAATATGAACTAGAAAAAGCTGTTAGAATAACTATTTGCTTTTCATATTATACCGATGATTGGCTAAAACTCACATAACTGCTATCTTACCTTTACATATTGCATTATTCACTTTTATCCTGCAGGGTATAGTAATAGAATGTGAAAATCTAACCTATCATTCAATAATAAGTCTAATATCTAATAATAATAATAATAAAATAAAAACTATATAAATATTTATATTAAAAAATATATTTTTTTACCAGCATCAAAATTCGCAATTTTGACTGAAAAAATATGATCAAAGCAACCTGCTATATACTAAAGATTAATTGCTATACTTATTTAACTGAAAAAATTAATTTTAAAAACAGCTTATAAAATTTTGATAGTGTTTCTAAAAACAGAGTTTCTAAAAATTAATAATTCCTTGGTAGCAATATATAGAATCTATTATGTTTGATACAAAAATTATTGTTCCAAAATGAAGATATATGAGATAACACACAGATACATGATTATTATAATAAAACACAAGAAAATTAACAAGAAAATCCTATAACTACTTTAATAAAATTAAAATTATTTAAAGTGTCTTGTGTAGAGGCTTAGTTTAAAAAAATTTTATACTTGAATTATAAATTTTCTACCATTTCTCTTATTTAAAAATGTTAAATATTTACAAGGTCATCTTGTTTCTCAATATAATAAGTTTAATTGTTATACCTATTTATATGATAAATATTAATTGCCCAAACAAGAAAACTAACACTATAACAGAAAAATTTATTGTAATTTTCAATAAAAATATTAGGGACAACTATTTTAATATGTTGAGTACATGCTTAAAAAAAAAAATTAAAATTTTTAATCCTTTTACCATTTCTCAAAAAGAATCCAATAAAGAATCCAATAAAGATAAGAATAAAATACTAGTCTTTTATTTTGATAGTTTTATAGCATATATTGGTGACTTTGATTCTAGTTTTGCCATGAATAAATTGAAGAAGATTGAAGGTGTTCAACATGTAGAAAAATCTTTTAAAGTTGTTCTGAATAGTTCCGTAATTACACCTATGCTTAAAAATTCCAATTTTACTCAGAGTAATATATTTTTATATATAAGTAACTAATGCTAATTGTAGTTTAAATATTTTTTCTTATTTCTTTAAAAAGTATTACTCAGCAATTTTATCTGAATGATGAAATGTAAATTCTAAACATTTGTGCAATTTATAGAATTTAGATTGTATTGATACTGCTAAAAGGAATAAAATAGATTTTATACATATCTAACTAATGCTAGACATAAAGTGAACACCTATGTTATGAACACATAATATATTTATTAGATTTATATAAATGTTGCTAAATGAAACTGTTAAGTTAATATTGTATTGTGATATTTTGATAAAGTAAAAATATCTTGAAGTAGCTAAACACTGTTTGAAACCTTAATTACATAATATAATAATTTTTCTAACTTTAAGTCCGATGCAATGAAATTTTAAATTCCTACTAATTTACAGGGTTTCATCTTGCAAGAAGATAGAATTAAACTCAGAGGTGCTTTTGCTATGGATGTGAAAATGGTGATGATGAGTTTGGGTATATAATCAATTCTTAATAAACTGTTTCTTTTGCATGCATATATATATGGTCTAAATCCTTGTTTTAATTATTAAAAAGCCATGGGACTCATGTTGCTAGTATAGTAAGTAGTAAGTTAATATATATATATATAACTGTATTCAGAAATAATCTTTTTTGTAAAATTATTGATATATAAATGTACAATTATTTTTAAAACAATAGATTGCAGGTAAATATAATATTATATTGGGCATTTTTAAATTACATAATAACTATCACATTTCACATATTTAAATTTATACCTTTTTTATTGCTCACACTTAGAAATAATATATAGTGTTGCAAAATTAGCAAACATCATTAATGTTAGAGTTGGTGATGGATTCAGACATATTTTTGATTCTGCAATTCTAAAAGGTGTAAATTATGTGATTATTGCTCATAAAAATGATACAAAAAAAACAGTATTATCAAGTAAATATCTTCTTATATTACTTGTGGCAAATTACTGATTCTAGGAAATTGTTAGTAATTAAGTTAACTATTATTATTTTAGCATGTCTTTTGGTAGTCCTTATTCTAAAACTATGGAAAAATTAGTTAAGGAATGCACTGATAATGGTATTCATATTGTAGTCTCAGCTTGCAATAAACTTAGTGATGCATGCATAGTATCTCTAGCTGCTGCTCCTTCAGCCATTACAGTTGCCACTTCTTATAAATCTGATCAAATAGCTGATTTTTCAAATTATGGATCATGTGTTGACATTTATGCCCCAGGTTTGAATAATAAAAATTTAATGATTTTTAATATATATCTATCATTATATTTGAAAATATAGATGTAAATATTATATTAGCTTATAAAGAAAGTGATAATGATAGTCATGTTCTTAAAGAAACAAGCATGTCTGCTCCTCATGTTGTAGGCACAGTAGCACTTTATATTTCAACTTATGGCAGCTTACATCCATCAAATATGTCTGAAGCAATTATTTCATTAGCAACTAAAAATAATATTACAGGAATTCCTGATAGAAATAATACTTACTTTTTGCGTGTATCTTATTAATAAAATTTTTACTTAACAATTAGCTTATTATTTATTAATTTATTAATTTATTAATTTATTAAATTAATTTATTATTTATTAATTGTTAATAAAATTTTTACTTAACAATTAACTTATTTTTTATTAATTTATTAATTTATTAAATTAATTTGTTATTTATTACTTTTTAATAAAATTTTATATTAGCAAACACAGAAAACATTAGGGTTCTACAATTTGATTTGATTTGATTTGATCAAATATTTGACTTTAAATCAAATTCAAATCAACTTTAAATTTGATTTGAATTTGATTATCAAATATATCAAATATTTGATTTTATTTGAATTATCTATCTATATATTATATTAAACTTTTAATGCCTGTCCAGAATAAACCGTATCTGATTATTGGCCAGCTAAGATCATTGTGATTTGAGTTGCTTTATGTTCATTTGTTAAACATAAAATATCATAATACAGTACAGTTAAAAATGTGAAATTTATCATACCTAATTTATAATGATAGACTGGTCTCCAAACCGAAACTAATAATTTTCGGTTTCATTCCATAAAAGTTCAGGTTGAAGCTATGGTCTTAACTTATAAATCAGTATAGTTTTTTATTTTTCTAACAACTAGTATTATTATATACAGCAATGTTAACAGAAATGATTTTTAATTAATAAGGGTCATAATGTTCTTCTATAACTTTTAAAAGATTTCTATTAGGCAATTTTAGGTTCTGTAATCTATTTGCCTATTGACTTTTTTTTTAAGGTTTGTCGATTTTCGTACACATTTTAAACATCTAAAAAAGAACGGCCTATGTGTTGTATATTGTAATTTACACAGATCAGTATGGTGTGGCAATCATATTCGTACAGTATGAGGTGTAACATACCTCATTCTAAAAATTTATACTATATTGTTCTGGTGTTATATATTACTGTATGAGGCTTAAACTATCGTTATATTATATATAGTGTTGAAGGTTAAAAGGAGGAAGCGAAGCGGGTCAAGAAACTGATCAACCCAACAAAACCAAATCAACCACACAACAAAACCAAAGGTCGAGGCGGTGATAAAGATTTGGTGAAGGTAAGGCAAGTTAGTTTATGAAGTATGGTTTTTAAGAATAAATGAATGACTTTTAGTATGCGAAATGTATCAGTTTTATTTGAATTGTATCTTTTTTATTTTCTTGAAGGCGAGCTTCAATGCCCTTACAACTGTAGCAGAATGCTACTCTATTTATACAAAAAAAACAATAGAAGAAAAAAAAACTAAAGAAAACTATAGAATTCCGAGTCTCGCCCTTTACTCCAGAATTATGATGTCATTACACTCCTTTACTACATCTTTTCCCCACGGTAGGCCTAACACTACCACATCCTTTTCCCACTTTGCCCCATACTAGTAGATGATCTCTAGAACATCTTCCATTTTTCGGCCATGCTTGGTTATTCTTGCACAGAAGAATGGGCCTTCCACAGACTTAATTTTACCAATTTCCTGATTTACCTTGGTCTTGGGAGCTTACAGCCTCAATTCCGCCACAATTTTGCCATTATTTAGCCAGGGTCCTCTCCCGGAGGCTGATGTGGCAATATCTTAATTAGGACTTTTTTAGGGCTTTGTCATGTCTAATTCCATTTGGGGCAAGCTACGTCCCAAACGCGTGATTCAGTTTTTGTTTTTTTTTTTTTTTTTGGAGTATCGATTTTGCCACTAACAATAGTATAGTATAATTTTTTAAAATAGGTGCCATTTTTCATACTGATTCTATGTCATATATTACTGTATTAGTTTTAGAAATTAACGTTATAGTATATTTATTTGGCATAATTTTTAAAATTGGTATAGTTATTTACACCTTTTATCATACTATTTTAGCAACCTGTATTATTATATGTACGATCTTCTGTAATTTAATTTTTGATTAGCCATAACTTTTAGGTTTAGATTATAGGTGGGATCCAAAACCTTTTTGGCCAAATCCGAAAGTTTCAGGTTTCAAATTATAGGCTCCAAAACCTCATCCGAAACTCCAAAACCTGAAACCTAAAACCTTATCTGAAACTTACCCAAAACCTACCTGAACTCTAAAACTCTATCTAAAACCTACTAAACCCTATCTCAAACCTTTTCAAACCTCTAAACTATTAAAATTTAATTTTGTATAGTAATTTAGTTTTAATTAATATACTTTGTACCATTTATAATGAAAAATAGTGCTTTTTAAAATACAGATAATAATCAAATTGTAGAAGATTGAAGATTTAGTTAATGAAAATGAGTTAATTATTTTATTTAAGATTCAGAAGATGAAGATGATCCAAATGAAAATAGCACAATCATTTCGATGATATAGTATTAACTAATCATTTGATTGGTTTTAATCTCATATTAATCAAAACAAAACAAACAACGGTTGGGTTAGAGTTAGTTTAGGATTTGGCCAGGGCAATAGCTAGAAGACCCAATCCAAATTTAAGGTATTCTTTTGTTGATAAAAAGAAAGTTTTATAAATTTTAAGTTATAAGCGATTTTTTAAAAAATTTGATTTTTACGTTCACCTGATCCTGCATCTTGATTGCTAAAGGTTTCAGATTATAGTTTCGGGTTTTGGGGCTTCGGATTTTTTTTCAAAAATCCGAAAGAGTTTGTTAATTAGGCCTACCCAAAACTGGTTTCGAGTAAGTTTCATTTCAGGTCCCACCCAGTGTTTGAAATTTCAGATCTAAACACTGTTCTCATGAGAACAGTATAATAGCTATAGGTGTTCTCATACTAATATTTCTGTTCTCACTTAATGATCATAAAAAAAAAAAACCAATAAGATTTGATTTTATCAAATTTTTGTATTTCAAAATTTATCTAGATTAATATGACTGTCTTTATATTAGAATTTTTTTATGATTTTTGAATATAATTTATTTAGCATTTATTAATATTATAGTTTTCTATTATATACTTATGAGAACACAATAATTATTTTACAGTTCTAAAAAAATTTTTAATAGTGAACAGTGTCACGTAGTTTAGGCGAGACCAACTGGATTATGTGTTTTACATTACCCCCCTCTCCCCTCCAGAAGAGGGGGGGGGGAGAATTCGTGGTTTACATAGTAAAATTTTTAAATTTTTTTTTCCGAATTGTTCCGTGACTGTATAAAATTTTTCCGAAATACCCCGTAGCCCTATGTATATTTATCAAATTTTTTTTACTATGAGGGAGATGGGGGACTCTGAGGAGAGGGGGGGGTAATGTAAAACACAGAATCCAGTTGGTCTCGCCTTAGCAACACTACGTGTACTACTATAACTTTACTATCGATCTTTAACCTCGCTTGGCCTAATTATGCGATGACTGGAGTATCGTACCAGATACTACCACCAACGATGTATTCACAATAGTTTATTCACTAAGATCGAAGCTTATTCACGAAGCGAAAGCTTGGCATCTCCCCTATTTGGATCGATGCCTTATATATTATTACTAATACATATTTTATTACTACATTATTCATGCAATCACATATTAATTACTAATCGCTATTGATTGCTACATTGTTCATGCGATACTAATCGCTTCTAATTACTACATTGTTCATGCAACGCTATTTTTAGACTATTAATTAGATCGGGATCATGCATATCCCCGATCACAATATTCGTTCACGTACCCGATCATTAATCACATGGGTACCGCTACAAGTACATGGGGCATTAAGAAACACCGCGACAAACAGTAAAAAATTTATACTGTGCTCAAATTTATAATCGTGTTCTCATGAGAACTCTGAGAACACAGATTTCAAATACTGGTCCCACCTCTGGTTTAGATCAACATATCTCAGTACAGATTTCAAAAATCCTATCTAAAATATTGCCAGAAAACAAGCTTTTTGTCTTAGCAAATAATTTTTTTGAAAGTATTTAATCTTAATCTACTTACCTGTTGATTTAAATAATGCTATAACAAAATTTGTGAAAGCTTAGTTTTCAGATACAAAATTTTTGCAAGATTCTTACACGACATTTAGAATAATGCAATATACATTTTCTAATTAGTATCTAAAACCTTGAAATTATAATTTAAGTATGGAATAATATATTTATTCACATTATCAATAAAAACTTTTTTTAATTGTTATTTCCGATTGATGAACAATTATAAAAGAGAGAGGAAAATGATACTTCAGTTTATATATAGCATTAAAATTGGGGAATGATATTTGGACCCAAATTTGATATTCATACCAATACATCTAAAAGTTTTTTGAACTTTAAGCGAAGATATCTCGACAACTACCAAGACAAATTCAATAAACTTTTTTTTTTGAATTCTATAATTCCATAAAATTCAAAAAAAGTTAATCGAATTTGGCCTGATGGTTATCGAGATATCTTCGCTCAAATTCTTTAAAACTCAAAACATCCATCAGAGCATTAAAATTTATTTTTATTCTTTGAGAGAAGATTAATATGCATTTTTTGATTACTTAAATTTGTTATATAAAAAATTTCATAAAATAAAAAGAAATGTTATAAAAAAAATTTCATAAACTAAAAAGAAAAGTTATAAAAAAATATATATTTTTATACTGTTCGTGTAAAACACACTCATATTCTTGTACATAATGAACTGTTTCTCGACAAGAACAACTTTAACGTTAACTTTTTGTATAATGACAGTAATTAAATCGATTTCTCGAGTTCCCTCACTTGAGGTGGTTTCTTTTTTTTTTTTTGTAGAAAAAAAGGGCTACTACGCCCAAAGAGCTACCAAATGGTTGATTACTGTATTAAATAAAAATTAACCTGCTTATAATGCTAATTTATTTATAAATTTACTGTATTTATTAGAAAAATTAACCTTTTACCTTTACATCCATCAACAACAATTGGAAAGTTCTTCAGATGATACAACTACACGCTTCAAATTACATCATCAACCAAATGCTGTGAGATATAACCGTGTCTTGCACGAATTTTTCAAGTTTTATCTTGACCTGCACATTCAGTCATTTGGCCCGTGGAACAAATTATTTTATAAAAGTTTTCAGCCGAACAATTTTGTGTCTCTAAATTGTATCCAGCTTGCTAAACGAAGCTCTTCAGTTATACTCTGGCAATGTAAAAAGTTTAGATTTTTTTTATTGCGTTCAAACAGCTTTTATTTTTCGGTTGGCTAACGTAGGTTTTCAAGATTCGATCAGAAGACTCAAGATTCAGAATGCTATATCTTTAGTTCCATGCTTATTATTGATGAAAAAAATTTATTCATTTTATTAAGTCAAAGATTTGTTCATTATTATTTTTTTCTTCTTTATATCACGTCATCACTACTGATTTACCGTAATATAATTAATTTAATAACTTTACTGCATTAAAAATTTACTTAAGCCTTCAATCGGTGAGATTGAGTAGTAACACGTGTCGATTGAGGATCAACGAATTTTATGTGAAGCAGGGTGAGTCAGTAGAAACGCACCATATTTTTTCTAAGTAAATTTTTTAAAACTTTAAGTAAGAATAACTTAACAACAACTTAATCAAATTTTATAAAGTTTTTTTAAAATCAATTCTAAAAACTTGTAGAATTTATAAAACTTTTTTTTACTAAATTTGGTTAAGTTTTTGCTAAGTTATTTTTGTTTGAAGATTCAAAAAATTTCATTAAAAATAATATGGTGCGTTTCTACTGACTCACCCCCATATATACCCAGATAATTTTTGATATACAATAGAACATTCGAATAAATTGGGGTTTTTTTTGAAAATCTAAGAGTCCTGTAAAAAAATCAACACAACTCAAAGAATATAAGTTTCATCAATGAAATTAAAAAACCGTAGAAAATATAGAAATTTTCTTATGCATTAAAAATTTTATTCGTATTCTTTTTCATATTGCCGTTTTGAATTTGCCCTTGCCCATTTTAAGTACTTTTACAACAATTTTTCTTCTTAGGAAAATCTTTAGATTTTTCTAAACGATCGGCAAATTTGAGCAATGCTTGAGTGATTCATTTAACATTGTATAATTAATAAATAACATTAGAACGAAAGAAAATGTTATATTTTAATTAAAATTTGATAATAAAAAACATAGAATAGTCATTATTGTTACTATGTACAATTAAAACATCATTTTAAATTTAAGCTCACGTCTTTTTTTTTTAGATTCGTGCATCACATGAGGTGATAATTTACTAATAATACCGGTGGAAAGTCTAAATACAATTATACATAACAGATAATATGGCAATGATTACTAATTATAAACATTAAAAATTATAATATTAGTGATTCAGAAAAAGGGAGACTTTTCACAACTCGGTATAGCTATAACTATAACCTAGACCTATGTGATGCCATGTAAATGACCTGTCGGCGAAATGGACATCAGGAAGATGATTCTGAATGGCTGTAAACCATATGGGTTTCTGGTATCGTAAAAACCGTACATAGCATTATAATTCCCTGATAACAGGTCAGAATAATCATGTGAATATGAATTTATGACTCATTACGCTTCGAAAGTTCTAAATACAATAAACGATAATTACACGGAAGCATTAATAGGGTTATTTGACTTCTATTCATTAAAATTATTACGCCAATACGTTAAAAATGCGCCATATACGCCAGAGCTAAACTAAATTATGCTAACAAATAACTGTTGCATAGTTTATGAGGTAATTAAAGAGTATTACGATTAATTGGGTAATTGAAAGTGGTGTGATTACAATAATCGAATACAGTAATCGGAAAATCTGGTGATCGTGATGCATAAAAGAAAAAAAAATCTGCAAGATTATCTGATTTTATTGAGGCTTGTATATCTTATCAGTAGCTTGATAAGTTGATAAGATAACACATCGTTATATATTCATAATAAATAACAAATATATTTTCATACTATATTACTAACGCTAACCCTGGCTATCATCATTATATCGATCGTAACAATGTACATACTTACATATGTACGATCATAAAAAAAAAATGCTTTGGTTTTACGTATTGGTATTACATAAAGTTCTGTTTAAATCCGTCATCCGTTTAATTATCCGGATAATCCTACAGGTATTTGGATAATTATCCGGATATCAATAGTAAACGGATATCTGATAAATTCAGATCGGATAAGCGGATAATGGATAGGAACACTAGTTTAATTATTACGGATATTATATATCGATATCACTTCATTAGAGTTCTAATCCAGTCATCCATTTTATCCGATCTAAATTTTATTTGAATATCGATAACTCTACACTTCATAATATAGAAAGTTACTACAATGTATTTTATGGTATTTTTATTGCGTATATAAGTACGTACGCATGTACCTTATTCTAATATATGCCTAAAAATAGCATTTTTCTATTGTATTTAATTTGTGTTTTGTTACGATATCAAAAAAAAAAATTTTTCATGGAAAATACGTATTAGTCACAATGCATGAAGGAGGTGTCATTTATTTGATGATTTTTTTGTAAATAGTAAGATCTTCTTCAGATAATTATAATTATATATATATATTTACATGTGATTTAATGACATGTTATTTTAAAAAAATCCGAAAATTTCCGATTAAATTACGCATACGGAACTTTTCGTTAATTTTAAAAAAATTACGTACGTACATTTTGCTCGATGATTAGTCGTTTGGCGTCTAAAAATTTATATAAAAATATCTAAAATGTTTTTAACAATTAAAAAAAATTTTTTTTTATAATCAAAAAAAAAAAAATGTCGTTATCTATCATTTTCAACCATATTCTTGGCAACTTTTTCGCATTATTAACTCTAATAACACTTATTTATGTCTTTAACTTTTATTACAAATACTTCACACGACCTAACCCTCTTCCTGGCCCTTTTCCATTTCCGATTATTGGTGGACTTTATACTAAATTTGGTTATTTGACAGATGGAAAAGCTTGGATGAAATTGCTTAATGAATCTTATGGTGATTTATTTGAATTATATATTGGAAATAATCGTGTGATTAATATTTGTAAAGCTGAGTATATGGAAAAGTTATTTATATCTTCATCAAAAAATAACAAGTTTCCACATAGATTTGGTCATTCTGAAGGACTTAAAGAGTTAGGAGATAATGATGTTGGATTAATAGGAAATGCAAATCTTGAATGTTGGAAATCTAGTAGACATTTTTTTAATTCAATGCTTCTTCCAAATTTTTCTGAAAGAGTTTATGACGCGGTGAACAGCTTATGGAAAGAAATGGAAAGTAATTGGTTATCTAATTATAATGATTCGAAAAATGAATTTGAAATCGATATGACAGAGTGGATTCGCAGCTTTACTATCAGTGTAACATTTGAATTAAATTTAGGTATTAAAACGTCCTTGATTCAAGATAATAAAAAATTGATAAGTATGATCGATATGTACTTGACTTCCCTTGAATGGTTCCTTATTCACCCTTATTGGATGAGACATTATGTACCATTCTTTCATGCCCATACAAAAAGGCTCCTAAAGAATAGGGATGATTTATTTGACATTATTTCGAAAATTATCAAAGATCGAAGAAAAGAAATTGAAAATTCGTTGATTAATAAAGATGGAAAAGCCGAACAAATGAATGACATGCTTTCGATGATGATAATGTCTAATACATCTCTCATTGCTGATAATTTAACCGATGATTTAAGTCCGGAATTTAAGCGACCAATGACCGAACGTGAAATTATTGGAAATGTATTGGATACCCTTTTTGGTGGAATTGCTACGGTAATACAGTAATCTATATTTTAATATTTTAAATAAATCTCCTTTATCATCAATAAATAATGTTTAATAACATCTAATTTATTAAATTGTAGACGTCAAGTGTATTTATTCATATTGTTCATGTCTTAACAAAAAATCCAAAAGTATTGCATAGATTTCGTCAAGAACTTGATTCTGTATTTGGAGAAGATCGTGAACGTCCAATCACAGCGCATGATCTTTCAAAACTTAAATATTGTGAAGCAATAATCAACGAAGTTACTAGATTTAATCCAGTACTTAAAGTGGGATCACGAGTAAGCACCGAACGCGAAGAAGTTGCCGGATACACGTGGCCTGAGGGTACTGCATTTCATATAAATTTCGAGAGGATACACCTTAACAAATCCCATTGGCAGAACCCAGAAGAATTTGATCCTGATAGATTTATGAACAATGATAATATACCAAAAAATACTTTGATTCAATTTGGAGGTGGTGCTCGAATGTGTAAGTACTTAATATTACCGATTTTATGAATCTTAAAATTCATATAAACTATATAAATTATATATTGATTTATATCTTGGTTTGTAGGCCCCGGACGGAAATTTGGTACGATTATGATTAAAGGAATGATGACAATGTTATATAGAAAATACGAAGTTGAGTTAGTGTGTGAAGATGATGTAAAATATTATAGAGATTATCTTCTCGCTTATTATCAAGATTTTATTACAAATCTCAAACCTAGAAATAATCAAATCTCATAAAATTTTTTTATACGTTGAGATATCTGAAAAATTTTGTATTCGTTGTCAATTATAGAATCATTTATTTTTCGGCAAGGGTAAATCATTTCGTTTATATCATCTACATTATTATTTTACATTATTATTTTACATTATTATTTTACATTATTATTCGAATAGTAGCTTACTTCTTAAAATCGCGTAATGTCTGTTAAATGCTAAAATTGCTGTCATGTAATGAATGATTCTTAGGTAAAACAAATAAACAAGTCAAATTGATTTAAACATTTCTACTTCAAATATAGGTTGTTTGAAAAAGAAGAATGTTGAGAAACTTAATCACTGATTTTTTGAAACCCCTACTTATTTCAGGAATATATTTCAGGAATGTATAACTTTGAAATGCCCTAATATACTCGTAGGACTATGACAAGATCATATCACTAAGTTCAACTAGTAAAATCATATGAATGTCATATGATTTTACTAATTGAACTTAGTGATAAGACCTTTTCATAGGCCAACGCTGACTTAAACTGACTGGCTTATCATAAAATGAAAAAACATTATTGCGATATCATATATGTTTTGTGAAAATGATTTTTTTTGATTGTATTAAATTATATATGCCATGCGTACAAGAAGTATCGTGAGAAATATTCGTAGATTATTTTTTGGTTTCACCTGATATTAGGCTAGTTTCTCGCCCCAACAAACACAGATTTGCACTCATATATACCAATAAGTTAAATTACGTTATTTTATTTTTTTAAGTTAAATTACGTTTATCATATTTATTTTATTTTTTTAAGTTAAATTACGTCTACGTACTACATCCTGATCCTGTATCACGTCTAGTATTAGAATGCTCGCCCTCAATGTGATTAGCTAGTGATGATTAATTAATCCTTACTGTAATTATGCTAAATATTCACATTGCTTAATGCAATGTTAAATTTTTAGTCAATCAGCATGACTCTATGATAAAAAATGATGCTCAACATTTTTTCATTACGGTAATGAACTCACATGACCTGTACCTTATCCATTGTTAAGAAGAAAATATAGAGATATTTATTATTTTTTATTTATTTATTAATTTATTTATTTATTTATTAACTTTTTGTTTGACTATGTCTGTCGCCATCCTTACTCATGTGACTATTGTCCAATAGGCCATAATTTTAGCAATTTCTGTTGTTTTGAAAAATTCTCGATCGATTGAACATGTGACCGTAACTGTGCCTGTCATATGTTCGATAAGTGAAAAATTCAAGACCAAGTTAACGTATTGAGAAACTATTTAAATGCCAAAATAGAGAAAATGGAATAAAAACTAAGTATACATTATTGGGCAAAAATTTGTGAATAACGGCAATTTGCCCAATAATGGTACTATCCAACAATTTATGATCATGATTGGTAGGAAGTCACTCGCTGAGTTTTTTTTTTTTGAATATTGGAAAACATAGTTACATCGTAACACAGGAAGAAAGTTTTTCATGATCATATGAATTTGTCGGATAAAGTATGATAATATAAATGTAAATACCAACAAGCCTTTACTTTAATTTTAGCGTCGGCTTTGATTACTAACGATATTCTTTTAAAACCGCTATTGCAAGCAACATTTAGAAATAAAGGGATAATAAACATGATAGTTAGGCCTATGCCTTAGTGGAAAGATGACTAAATTATATGATAGAAGAAATGACTGAATTATACGGCGATCGATATTCCTATATGGGGTGCCTCGTATTAAAAGGGTTCATTTTGACTAATTTTCTAATTTTCTAATTGGATTTTTGAATTGACGTATGGGGGCGAGTCAATAGAAACGCATCATATCTTTTTTTTTAATTTTAAACAAAAAAATTTTTTTACAAATTTTTAGAATTGATTAAAAAATTTACATAGAAAAAATATGGTGCATATCTACTGACTCACCCCAATATACATTCAATAAAAAAGTTTGCCACATATAAATTACGAAAGACTATTACATTATAAAATGTTTCACGAAATGAACTTTTAGGTTGAAAACTTTGGTTCTATTTGTAGATCATAATTGTTTACCGTTACATGTGAGAAATGTGCCGTGACACCCAATGTACTGTATGTACACAAGTGGTCCAGACTCTTGACAATATGCATTTAGAGAACAAATTAAAAAAATAGCTCATATGATGGGTTAGAATTTGGAATTATATTTAGAGAGATGATACATTTGAGAAGAGGAGTTTCGTTGAATTAATAATGAATGTAGCAAAATGAGTGATAAGGCGATCTTTGTGCTACTGTACACTAAAAATATTATAACGAAAATTATTAATGGTTACACCAACATATCTATGTTAGAATTTGGCGGCAGTCATTAACGATAAACACTAATAGATATATTACAAACCGCATATTATTTCAATAGGTTCAGAAATTTTTTTTAAAAATATAAAAACCTGCAGAGGTAATGGCTGTATGAATGTTTTTCCCGTTAGTGTGTATATCATACCTGCCGGAAAAGCTAGTTATTCAGCACGGTATATCAGTATACGAATATATGGACATTGAAGGAATTATAGCAGCGTGTGTACATTATAGTTATTGTATGGGTATGTAATGAATAACCCAGTTACACACGGGTTCATATTCCGTGCCGAAGGCACGGGATTAAATATGAACCCGTGTGTGTAACTGGGTTATTCAACATACCATACAATAACTATCTTATTGTACGGTGTCTGACGTAACAATCCCGTGCCAATAAGTAAATGAAAAAAGCACGGGTTGTCACATAAGACCCGTACAATAACTATAATTTATTTCCTTTTTTATGTATTCAAAAGTATATAAAAACCTTCCTTTATTATTCAAGTAAGGCATACTTATATAGTCTTTCGTCAAAGTAACATAATACGAAATTCCATATAAGAATATTTTTGACATCATATATTGAATACGTATTGAATTTGTGACAAACCCGTTTAATCGTGGCCCGTGCAATTGTTATCCGAACCCACTGAATTTATCTATGCAATGCTGTACTGCTAAATAAAGCTGTAAATGGAAATAAGAGAAACCGCGTTTTGTGCAGATCTGCTAGCCAGTATTATAGATATATAGTATTCTAGAATATGTTGCAATAACATAACCGTCTCTAATGCGGGTTTCACAGTTAAATGTTATTTAATAAGTTTCTACTTTTTTATCATAAATATTATTGTTGTTGTTGGAATTGTAAACACTTATGCTTTTACAATGGTTACAAAGTACACCGTTCATGCGTCTGTAGACTATACATTTCGTGAATTTCCATTACTGATGTGCACAACATTGAAGCACAAAGAAAACAAATGTACGAACTCATATTTAATTAACTGGTAAATTCAAAAACTTTTTTTTTCATATTGAGAATAAATGTTTGTCAATTATTTGCGGAAAAACTGATCTCACATGAAAAATATTCTCTGAAAACGAGACTTTTAATTCAAGTCATCATCAATCCGTATTATTATTATTATTATTAAGTTTACATCTATACATCAATCTTTATACAATACATTTATTTCATACATAAATTACGAATTCCTTTGAAATTCTTTAAATCGTCTTAATATCTATAAATGATGTAAACGATGTCCAAAGAATATAAAGATTTTTTTACTAATGCGCCAAATAAGCAAGTTCGGAAACACAATTTAGAATACTTTAATAATCCTGATTTTGAAACCAAAGATATAAATGAAGTAACCTCTCTGTTACTAGACTCGTATAAAACTTGTAATGGAAGGCGATTTTTGAATGATGACGATATAAATTGCATATTTCCATCCGATAAAGTAGAGCTTGAAAGATCGACTTTATCGCATTTATTAAATAAACATCAATGGAAAGGAAATTTTCGTTCACCGATTAAAGAAAAGTTGAAAATGGGTGGTGCTACTATTCTTGATGTTGGGTAACTATATCATAATTAATTGTTTAATGTATCTTAATTTATATTATAATTTTCTTTTATAAAAATTTTTGCTGTAAATTTTTTTTATCACAAGGTGTGGCCCAGGTCTCTGGGTGATAGATATGGCATTAGAATATCCAACGTCTTTAATTATAGGAATTGACATTGATTCCTCTAATTTTCCATCAAGTGATCAATGTCCATCAAATGTTTGTTTTCTTGCATGCAATGCAATTCATGGTATTCCATTTCCTCAAAATACTTTTGATTTTATTCATATGAGCATGATGTGGGGCGCATTTACTGAGGATCAATGGGTTGTAGTAATCAAAGATCTTGTCAGAGTTTTAAATCATGATGGATGGATTGAATTTACTGAACCAGAAACAACTTATAGAAATTGTGGAAAGATTCAATTATTGCTTTATAATTCTTGTAAGCATTTAATATAGGAAATTATTAATTTTTATTTATTAAAAAAATTAACCTTAAATTTTTTAGTTATGAAAGCTACCCAAGAAATACGAGGTGTTAGAATTGATATTCATAAAATGTTACCAAAATATATTGAGGCAATAGATGAACTTGAAGATTTGAATTGTATGATTGTAGATTATCCAATAGGCGAATGGTATGGATGTTTTGGTAAATATGTAAGTAAAGAATTTATAATCTGATTAGAATACGTGTTGAAATTTTTTTTATCAATTAATGATATTGGCTTATATATATATATATATATATAGTCATTGGAAAATTTTAAGCGTTTATATCAAACTGTGTTTTTTCTTCCAAAATACATGGGGTTATCTAATGAGGAATTTAATAACTTATTGAATGACTATGTTAAAGAAGCAAATGAAAACAATGCTTGTTTTGGTATTTTCAAATGCTTTGCTAGAAAAATTTCAGAAAAGTTTTAATTATTTAACATTAAGTTACTTAATGTCAAATTTATTTTGACATAATTTTATTAAGTTCATGTGTTATCACTTTATAATTAATTTTATTCTTAAATTTATGGTTTGGTTAAGCAAATTTAGTCTAATCTTTTAAATTATAAAAATTAAAAATGCAAAAAAATAGTTTAATACTAAAACATTAAGGATGAAATTGGTTTAATTAAAATTTATAACTTCTGATAAGATGTTTTAAATAAAGTATTGTTTCATTTTATTACTATTTATATAAAGTAAGCTAAATGGGATTGATAAGAAAATTGTTTGATATGCTTATAAAATTTTTGATTTGTCGCTTGCACATACTAAATACTTTCTAGTAATAAATAGTAAACTACCATTCAAAATTGGTTAGTAATTGATTGAAATTCAAACTGTAGTTAGTCCTCTACTATATTAACGTATGATTTAATCAGATCACTTCACATATGATTGTATTTGTTCATATGTATAAATTTTAATTGATTTTTCTGTTACTGATGCCCTATAAAAAATTTTTAATGAAAATATCCAGATTATATTCTGGGTAGGTTGAATTTATTCCGATTGTATTCCGAACTGAAATTTATATAATCTAAAACAAAAACTTCAATATCGATATTGTTCTGGAAATTTCTTGGAATTTTTTTTTTAATTGGTTATAATCCAAGAATTGTGAAAATATTCAGGAAATTTTTTAATTAAAATTTATACTTAATATTCGATAGTGATAATTATTATAATAAATATGTTCAAGTCTTGTTTTAGATAAGCTAAAACTATTTCAATTATAAAATTGTTACTTTATGTATTATAAGATAAAACCAAATATTCCGAATTTTATCTGAATGTAACCTGATTTTCCCTATCTATAATAACATATTTATTTGTTGCAACTTCAAGAAATCCAACACAACGGTCAATAGTAGTAGTGTTAATAACTCCTATTTCACCAAAGTTACGAAAATATCGTATATTATTCACATAAATTTCTGGACTTCGGATCCAATGCACATAGGCAAGCTTTGATACCTCACCCTCATGTTCGTGTGTAAAATAAAATAAGACTTGGCCATAAAACTCTCGTTCTTCTAATTCAACAGGTGCTCTTGGACGGTGTGCATTTTTATCAACTAAAAGCTTTGCCTATATAAATAATAAATATTAACTACATTTCTAGATTTATAAGATATAATAAGTTTTACTTACTGCAATTGAATAATTGTTCCGTGAGATATCTCCTTTACGATTAGCAAATTGTGAACTAATTACTGCTCCAAATTTGGTTCGTAATCTTCCATACTTCTGGATCTTGTTATTGGTTATCTAAAGTTTTTTTTTGTATATTAGTAATATTTTAAACCATATATAGTGAAATTTAATATTACCTTAATACAAGTTATATCTAAATTTAATACAGTCGCATAATACTGTTTGATCTTACGGATCTCTGGTTTTGTTATTACATGTTCTTTGAACAATGAATATAATTGTTCTTCTTCATTTGGAGGGTTAAAAAGGTGCTTAAATGAATGAATCTGAGACTTTTCAGAAGGTGACCCGAAGATTTCCTGATTATATTTAGTATGAAATTGCAAATGTGTAAATCGTGTCCATGTAGTAACTTGATTTGTTAAGTTTGTATAAGGATTTTGTCGAGAATGAACTAGAGGTATTAGCATTCCACACAGCCTTTCCATCGGAAATTGCCATGTTGTCCATGCTGGACCTGTTTCAAAGATCGAATCAGAAATATATAAAAGATAATAGAAGCTAATAAGAGTTGCTGAAAGGCGATTAGGATCTTTTTGGTAATATTCTCTAAATTTATTTAATAATATATAAATCAAATATTAATATAAAGAAAAAACATGTGCTAATCAAGAATTTTTTATGTTAAATAAAAAAATAATAATTTATATATACAATGATACTATAAAATGCTGACTGGTAGATTCTTCTATGATTTGTACCCAGAGTAGATTAAAATTTTGTATATTATATTTATATCCTGAGGAATAGTATCTCTATACTTTAGAGAATACCCAGTGGCGTAGCATGTTAAAGGTTGAACAAAAAATGCATATATATCAAATATTTGTAGATAACTAGATATATCAGTCAGCATCTTATAGCAATTCAAAAAGAAAACTATTTTATAAATAAAATTTACCGCTCATAATTATTAATAAAGTCTATAAATAACACTTTAATTTCTTTAAGCTCTTCATTAGAAATAGTCGGTTCAAGACATAGTTGTGTCGCTCTAACAAATTTTGCCCATCCGTTTATATATCTGTAAATTTTAAAATATTAAAAAGTTAGATGATATATGGGTAAATTAAATAAAATTAAAATTAATATATATTTTGCTGGAAGATGATTCTGAAAGAGTGGATGTGAATACAAGACCGTCCAATTATACCAATCTTCAGCTTTAAAACCATTATAGTATTTTTGAATATTAATTGGCGGCCTTCCAAATTCTAATGACATTGTTTTTCGATTATGCTCCATTATCTTTCCAATTTTATTTCAGTTATGTGTTGAAATCTTATATTCGGTGTCATTAAGTTTTTCATTATTATAAAATTTACCAATAAAATGGCTAAACATATGCTGTGCAACATTTTCAAAAAGTGCATGCATTATGTCTACTGGAAATGATGCTGGAAAGTCAATTGAACATAATTCAAATAAGATGCTTTGTCCATTTACTCCAGTTTCACGTTCTGCTTTATGTCATTTGTTTTTACTTTTATATTCTATATCTTTAATATCTTGGAGGTAACTGCTATGAGTACGCATTGGTAAATAATTTGGATGATATATAGTACCATTGTAACCCTGTGGTGGTGAAAGTGGAAAATATACATGTTGAGCTGTTTCAGAATATGTCCCATGTAAGTAACAAAATCGACATCCACTATATGCATTGTGACCAGATATACACATAATTTTGGATAAAGCTGGAATATCTCCAGATACTGATAATATATGGCCTCGTAATGTGAACATTTCTTGTGTTAATGCATCATAACATGATATGCTCTCTATATAAGTTGATATATATATATATATTAGATCTATTTATTATAATTAATTTAAAAAGACTAAAATTACCTTCAAGACATTTTAGTTCATCTATGAGTGGCCGTAAAAAACTATTTAAATTTTTTGGTGACTTTGGGCCTAGAATAATCGCAGCTATCATTAAATTTTCTTTCTTTACTCTCTGAGATGGAGGTAAATTCGCATTTAGAACTAAAATAATCCAGCAATCATTTCGCTTTTGCTTGAACAATTGGTAACCATCTACAGACATAGTAAAGGCAATATCACGTGGATCTGAAAATAGCCCAGATGCAACCAAAGATCTATATCGATTGCCATCAAAAACGTCTCCAATTTTATCTTGTGATAAGTATTCTTGTCTTGATGTGTATTCATGTCAATACCGAAGAACTTTTGCACGTATTAAATCTTTATATTGCATTTTTAGACTATCAATTATTGAAAAATAAGCAGCAGACTTCTGAGCCTTTTTTGGTTTTTTTCCTAATAAATATCATGGTTCTCCACAAATAGGGCACATTTTGAAGCTAGAATTTTCTTCATTAAATACACAACATGAATTCCAACACATATCTACAAGTATTGGTTTGATTGGGACTATATTACTTAAAATTGTTTGAAGTCTATATAGAGAAATTTTTGAAAGCCCAAATATTTCTATAATTTCATTAAAAGCTTGATCTGGTAAAGTATACTTGCTTTTGACATAAAGAAGATGAAGTCCTTTAATTATTTCATCTGATAATTCTTATATTTTTTTAAAAAAATATATATATTAATATTAAATACTAATTAAATATCATACCCGGAAGGGATAGAATTAAACAACTCTCTAATGTCCAACCTGATTGTTGCTAACCCTTGTGGAACCGTGCAAGCCAGGTATACGGTGACCGACGTAGAAGACTATCCTTATGTGGCATCATCTTCAACATCTCTAAACCCCTATGATCCACATACCACACTAAACACCAACAACGATCAACTC